ATCATTTTCGGGGACATAATTTTCACTTGCTGCCTAATATATCCCACCCACTTCCAGATGCCATTCTAATGAGATAATCAATGTTTTTAACTTCACCTCTCAGTGGCGATAATGTTATGGCATCAATACTTTTTTTTTTTTAATCCATCCTTGTTACGGCTTGTATGCGACAATAACATCATATGCTTATCTTTACAGGTGTATGCTATACATATACGAAATTAAAATAAGCATTGAGAATAAATGCTACATCAAAAGGACCAGTATACCTTAAACAACAGAGTTACATTAAGCAAAAACGAAAAACAGCATCAAATATATACATATATAAAGCTACCCATATCTGCAAAGGAAAAAAAAAGAAGCTTTTTATGTACATTTTTATGAGGCTTATTGCTAATTTTGGTTTTTTTCCCCTATGATGTCACCAGACAATTAAAAGCCAACACTTCCCAGTACACCATATTTTTTTTTTAAATGGGGAGAAACAATGATGTCACTCTCCAAGCCCTTCTAACTCTCACAGGATGGGTGCTTAAGAGCTTATTCTGACTCCCACACAACGTCCACTGAAGAAACAAGAAGTATTCATCACACACCACTTTGACTCAATCCTCCTGATGTGTTTCACCTGTGATGAGCTTAACCGTAGAGATGTTCACTTTAAAAATCTTTAGTTCTGCCAGGCTTGTTAAGCCTTTTATATATTTATTCATGAACGTCATTACGTCAAAACTCTGTTACATGCAGATGTCACAAAACATTTGTCAAGCCCTAGAATTGTCTGGATTCTTGAATAAACAGCTCCTAAAATATGACCGGATCTTTATCTCATTTAGAATGATAAATAAAGGTGGACTTGTTTAGCAGATGACAAACACAATGTTTTACATGATCAGATGTTTATTGAACTAGTGGTTTAAATAATCAAGGTCATTGACTGAAAAAGTATCTGAGCCTCCAGGATAATGACATCTTGAAAAATTGGTAATTGGACTCGGGTATGCCAATCAATGATGCAAGTGTTCAATTATTTCTGAGGGTCTGACCTTCCATGCTATAGAGAAAAAAATGAAAACCGCTTAATTTTGGTTATCTGTTCTTCTTTTATTTAAGTGCTCTATGGCTTCATGAAAATGCATTTCAATATTAGAATAGTCCCTGAAGCTTGTAAGATTGAAAAAGGTTACATAAGGATCTCTTAAGGCTGGATTCACAGTTGTCCGCTCCAGTGTGTTGCTTAAAGTGATATTTTGCAAGTTAACGTGCATTAAGTTAAGGCAGCCAGTACAAATAAAACAGGCTGCTAATGCACTACAGCAGACAAAAAAATTAAACCATTATTATCAAAGAAGCGCACCACAGTGCATGATAGTGTGTTTGCCGTGCTTTGTGGTGCAGGTGCGTTAAGCGGCATTCAGAATGAATGCCACTACAGCACAACAGGCATTGCCCGTAGGGTGACAGTCAAGGATCTGCAGACATTTCTTTCACTCTTAAAATGTGCTGTGTTAAGGAAGCTTATTTTGAATGGGTTGCCAAAGAATCACAAGCACTTACAACTGTAGATGCAGCATTTTGTTTTCTTAAATAGCACACCACGATACACATATGGTTCACACAAGAGTACTGTTGATCCTGGCAGTAATACACTACAGCACAGATAAAACGCTTTTAACAGTATATTTAACAAACCAAAAGGGAACAAATAATAGTAAAAGAATTGCTAAGGTTTATGTATACTATACCGTAACAGGTTCACATTTTTCTTGCCAATGACCTTTATTGTGTTTGTAAGGCCTCATTCACTCGGGCACAGAGGGCCGTACAGTATGAAAGAAAGCATGTGTTTATGTGCCCGGGAGAAACCGTTGACAGTTCCTGAGGGTGTACACATATAAGAGTGTTTACAGCCATACAGAGACAGATGAGTGATCCTGGATGCAAGCTGTTGCATTCAGGGCCGCTCATTGGCCCCTGCAGTGATGCAAACACTTGGATGTGCACACAGTGTTAGTCAGCCTATCATTGATTTGTACAGGCTGCTGTCCGTGCCTGTTTGCATCCAGGGCAGCTCATCCTTCCCTGTACTGATGAACATAAAATGTTGGGTGTTATTTTAACTAATTATAATAATTTAACATACAAATATGATCTGATCACAGTTTAGAAGCAGGATTGTTTGGTATTCCAGAGAATTCCTTTGGGTTGTACACCTTTTCTCATAACTCTTCGTAAGACTCAACTCTTCAGGGAAGCCTATCCCATCTCAAACTAACCACTCAACCATCATGTTCTCAAACAATTGACCCCCACACAGCTACCTCCTCATGCTTCACTTGCCCCTCCCTTTTAGATTGTAAAGGTGCCCATAGACCTTACAATTTATCTGCAGATTTTCTGTGGTCAGATGGAAAATGTGCAACAGATTGGCCCAGGTGGAGATAACTCCATCCACACAGTTAAGTGTAGATAGAGGAATCTGTTGCACCTTTTCCATCTGACCACAGAAAATCTGCAGATAAATTGTATACCGTGGAGACCCCCACTTCTACCGTTGCTGCTGCTTCGTTGTGCGGCCGCACATATATTTTTTTCTGCAATCTAAATCGAAGTTCGCGGGTCAGTGAGAGCCCCTAGCAAGGGAAAAGGGAAGGGCGCGGACATCGTTTCAGCCCTACCAACATACCCCTCTCTCTGAATCCTAAACCACAGCTACAGGACACACTCTTTGAAGTGAAGCACTATTCAACCTTCTAGCACTGAGGGATCCGAGCAGGACTGTCTCTCCCTAACCCGTATGAGCTGTGAGTAACTTTGGATACTTTGTATCCATATATGAAATACAGTGCATGTATCTGTGTCAATCAGGTCTTTGCTACACCAGCTGGCTTGTAGATCCTTCGTGTCAATATTAACTACTGTTTGTTCAAGGGAAGTTTTTTAATTGATTTTAATGTTTTGTTATGGATGTATTGTTTTGTTTATATTCGTTTCTTTACAATTAAATGAATTTTTTGATTAAATGTACATGTTATACCTGTTTACTAAACCAGCTCCGAGAAAGGGATTTCCTTAATTAGGGGATACTCCGATTTTTGCTAAGTTTTGTCGAAACCCTGGAGTTTGGTGTATTATATTATATATCAGAAGTTTTTTCCGCGTAACTCCTTATGCTCCCCTGTTTGCTGTAGAAATAACTCTAAATTAACTGGTAAATTATGTTTATGGGCTCTTTAAGAGCTGATATGTGAGCATTGTCAAAAAACTACTTGCTTTCCCATCAGAAATGCATTCATTTTTCATGCTTTTTTCAGCCAGAAGCCGCACTAGAGAGAATGGGCTGGGCAAAGTGTCTACAGCCTGGACAAATCACTTTTACCGAGCACAATCGGAGAGTAAGGAGGCAATCCAAAACATTATGTTAGAGAGATGAACGTTCCTAATGCATTTAAAAAGGTAATAAAACAATAAAAGATGCACTAAAACGCAATTTCTGAAAACCTTCTTCAGTCACTATGTTATACTATGGCACCAGGGTTTCAAATTGAGTAAAAGCTTTCACAGCATGAAAACAAGGCCACACAGAATGACACCGAAGACACAGCAACTTTTCCTTCCTAAGAGTTTTAGAAATGCTTACTGAAAGTATTTAGGTACTGAGAAATCTTTGTGCTCTAATGTCAGCCACACTAGGGTATCTACACATAGTACTGTGTAAAGTGAGCACCATGATCATGAACAAAGACATTGAAAAAAGGGGGAGTCTTAAAAAAAAAAAAAACAACAACCAATGGCAGCTACATATGTGTTTGCAAAATCAAGGTAGCGGAATCAAAAAGTATAAAAAAATAAAAGTGCAGCTGTATGAAATTGCTAGCAAGGCAAATCCTTTACAGTGTAGCTCATACATAGACCCAATGGTTTATGTATTACAGGGATCTATATAGTGCCAACAATTCACACAACACTTTACATACAGAACATCAGGTCCCTATTGCACATGCATACAGGGCCAATTAACCTTCCAGAGTGCCTTTGGAGTGTGGGAGAAACCCACGCATGCACAGGGACAACAAACTCCTTGCAGATGGTGTCCTGGCTGGCATTCGAACCGGGGACCCCTGTGCTCCTAGGGTGAAAACGCTCACTCACTATACTATATCCACGGTGTAGCAGTGTGGCCACCCCAGGCTGCTTGCTGCTGATAAGCTCTTTTCAACCCCATAACACGCAAGGGAAGTGTTCTGAACCCCTTAGATGAAAACTGGGAATAACCTTGTTTGAAATTTTTATTTCAGTGCACAGGAAGTTTAAAAGACAAAAAGAACAGATATGTTCTTTTTGCAAAAAGTAGCCTGATTGAAAAAAACCTCATCCAAGGACTGATATGTTGCAATATTATACATTTTTGGGGTTTAAATATAGTTTTAAAATACTTTAAATGTTAGGGAAAAGTGCAAACATTTTAGCCTCACTGGACAACTGGTGCCAGGAATTATTTTGTGGTTGTATAGCCACTGGTATACAAAAGAGTAAGAATGATGGCCATACACTATAGATTTTTTTTCCATTCAGCCTGTGCTAAACTATGATGATGGAGAAATTCACCCGGTCGGGCTATTGTATTCAGCAGATGCTACTCCAGAGTCTTCTGAATACCCGTACAGTGATTGCATTTGATTGGATACAGACAATGAGGTCAGCCACATCAATGCCTGTATTGCTCTTAGTAGAAGTTTTCTTTAACATGTCAATAGTGTGATAAAAGTTAGGACTGTCCTAAGAAGAGGTTAAAAAGAATAAAGAAGCAATAAAAGGCAGCAATACCATTTCACCCATACACTGGCCTACCTAAGGCACAGTAGAAAAAAAAATGACATTATCTGTAAAAAATTGACATGATTAATTTGTTATTCTCGCCCAAGACCCCCTACAGCTGCATTGTCCAATTACTCAGCTAACCACCTGTCAGACCTGCAAACTTAGTTTGGGATTACCTCCGAGGCAGAGCTGGGTCCGGTGCTCCGTCAGCTCAGCCAAGGAATCGAAATCCTGCTGGCAGTTATTGCAGGTGTAAATTGACTCGTCCTCCAGCTCCTCTTCCTCTATCCTCTCTTCCTGGCTGGTCACGCTGTTACCATCTTCCAAACCTTGTCCCTCTCTCTCTGCCTCCGTTTCAGGACCACCTGCAGATACAGGAAGAACATGAGTAACAGAGCAGTGTCAAAAACATTATAATTACTTTTGGCTTTTTATCCATCTTACTTTAGTAGAAAATGCACTTATTAGCCATTTTTATTTCGGTTACGTCCTTAAAATTTTACATCTACAACATAGTGGCACATTGTCTTTTATATAGACTGTATAGATGAAAGGTAAAGAAAGGAGATACATGGTTAAAATAAGTATAATAATGTACTGTATGTATATTTTAGGACACATTTTTATAATGGAATGGATTGATCTCCCTCAAATCAACTCATGTTGTGGGAGTTAATAAACAACTGAACTTTTAAGCACAAATGAGAAAGAAATAACAGATAACCAGTACAATGTTACAGAATTTTTAATTGTAGACACATGGCATAGGTTTTCGGTGCCACAATAAAGTAGATGTAAACCTAATTACTCAAATCTCATAATCTTCAATTTGTTAAAGAAGACCCTTTACCATTAATTGGACTTATCTACTTGCGCCCCTCCAAAAATATAGGAGATTTTGTAAGAGGGATAGGGCAAAGTAAATTAAACAAAAGTCCAAATAATGGTGCAAGGCACGTGATAAAAAGTTCAAAAGTAATTCTCAATATTTTTAAATATAGTTTTAATTACAATAACACCTGGTCATCCAGCCATGAAGGTGCTTTTGCAGGTACTTCTGTTATTTGATGACAATGCTCAATTTCCCAACTGCTCTCCTGCATGGTCACCCTGTCACATGTGCTTCTGGGGAAGACTAAGTGGCTGTGCTGACACTCACAATACAGGTATGGTCTACTGTTGTCACCATCAGCAAGCCTGCACCCATAACGATAGACAGAAAGTGGCTGCAGAGAAATTAACAGTGTCTATGGCCAATGTTAGTGGTTGTTAAAGAATATACAAAATTGTTTTCTGTTACTTACTTGAAATTTCACAGCCACTATATAGCAGGGACGTGCGGTCAGGGGAGGCAGGTGAGGCAGAGCCTCACCTAGAATTATGGAGGAAAAAGATGTCAGCTTCATGTCTGAAGCTGACAGCTTTTTCTCCATTCAGATTGGCATCCGACAGGTTACACAGCAGGGAAATCATCCCCGCTATGTAACCTGTCTCAGCAGTGAGGAGCAAGTGAGGTACAGGGAGGCTCCTCCCAGTCTTCTCCCTTCCTCCTTTACACTAGCTTCGATGACTGGTTGGGGGTGGTGCTTTGTCCAGCGGAGGCGGGGCTGGGGAATTCCTCACCCAGAGCAAGGAGGTACCGCACGTCACTGCTATATAGCAGTGGCACATTTACATTTGTTGTTAGAGTTATGCTATATATATATATATATATACACATACATACACATTTTTAGAATGAAATGGATGAATCTCAGTTAAAGTTGGACTACAACCTCCTATTCTTTATATTCAAGGAAGGTGCCATCATAGCCTCTATTTGGGTTGCAGTTGTTGTGGTGCTGCACATGTGATCAGCTATGACACCAGCTATTTGAGGGCATGACATTTTGGCTGAGAGCTAAAAAACAAAAACAAAAAAAAAAGCACACTGGCAACATTTGGCATGTCTAAAAAATAATTGTTTTGGGTGAGAGTAAAATTTGTCAGTCTAGCTCCACTTTAAGAAGAATTACTGGATAATCAGTACAAAGTTGCAGAATTAAAAATCATAGAAATACTGCACCATAGGTTTTAGTTAAAGATAGCACATTAAAGTATTTGCGCCCAGAGTTCAGCTTTACGTATGACAAAACTGTCCAACGGATGCTGATAAACCGCACTAACGGTTAAAAACTGGAAACCATGTAAAGTATTATCAATAGATATAATGCATCTAGAAATCCTTTAGATATTTTTGGGTAAATTTAAAAAGGTCCTCAGCTGCAGCCTACAACATGCCCAAAGGATCATACATCTGTACATTAATTACAGATGGACTGGTAAAAATAAAAAGTAAAAGTTTTGTTATGCAAAAAAAAAGTAGCAAACTGTATGCTTTCATACAGTGAAGCCTATTTAATTTGAAAGTTGCAAGGGCTGCCTAACGCAGAGTTCTGCAATGCACCTCAATTCACAAAAATCTGGCATTAGGGTGCAGTATGGCATGAATGGGCCATTTATATATTAACAGGAAAGCAGGAAACCTCTTTGTTACTTGATTTTCTCTATGTATTCCTTAAATTAAAAAAACATACGTAAAATGAAAGCTATTTATTTAAAACCAACTTCGCTTGTTCCTACCATGCCCGTTGAGCGGGCTCAACACAGGGGCACATTGTTAACAATAGTTTTCTACTGTATGTGCCCTGTTCACACCATAACGTTGCACTGTGCTGCATTGTGCTCCACATTTTTACACAGTGAAACCAACAGCACTGCAGTTACTGCACCATGTCACAACATACCGCAGTGCATAGAGTTGAATGAAAGTAATTTTGTGACTTCTACCAATAATAATAAAAAAAAATAAAAAAACGGAAAACAAAAAGCAGTGTGATGCGATTTAACAGCACATTGCACCACCCTTCACACTAGCGGGCTAGTGTGAATGAGCCCTAACTCACATTAGTCTACATTTCCTTTCCATTCTTCAGCTCTCTTTAGCAGGTAAGGACAGCCTCAATCCTAGCCCCACAGAGTCACATGGTTGGAGAGCATATAACCAGGGCTATACAGGAAGAAGACATCGCATCTTAAAGCTAGCGCTTTGCGACTCCTAATGCCTGATAACTCAGGCTCTGCCAAGGCTCCAGGTGGCTGGCCTGGCTCAAGACATTGCAGGCTACACAGAGAACTGGTGATCCACATGCAGCCTGCCGGCTGTGTGTGTGTGTGTGTGAAACAGGCTATTTTTCTACAACACTGCTAAAAATGTTCTTCACTGCAGATGTGCTTTTACTACAATTCTTGGTTATAAGTTTGTATAGACAAAAAAAAAAGTAGAATATGCATGGTATTGTAGACACTATGGAGAAACACCACTAAGACACAAGTATACTGATCTCCACCTGTAGGTAATTCAACTCACTGATGTCCATTTAAATGTGAAAACATACGTTTAGTACACTAAACTGTAACCAGGATATGGACGGTCACATATTTATATATTTATAAGACGCAGTACATGAACTTTATAACAAGCCCTCACTCACCTCTGTAGCTGCAGACACTGTGGATAAATTATCCTAAAATGTCCACAGCATAAGCACTAAAGTCCTTGTTTAACACCACTTCGCTCACTCCCAGCAATAACTCAGCCTTCCTGCCATCTAATTTCTAATGTAAACACAAAGAAAGTGCTCAGAGTGGGAAGCAGGGGTAGATGAGATGATGTAAGAAGACCACATGAAGGACTTCGGTGCCTCTGCTTTGAATAAACAGAATTTATTGCTCCATGGTTTAGAAGCTGGCAAAAGTTTGGTTTAAAGATCATGTACTGCCTGTCAAGAATTTGTCAACACTTAAAAGGAGAACTATGGGGTTAAGTCTTCTCCCCATAGTTCTCCTTAGGGTAACTGGAGGACACAAACTAGCATCCTCCCGTCACCCTAGGCTCAGTATACCGCGAGCTGTAGCTCGCGGTATACTGAGACGCCGCAGTATACCGCGAGCAGCTGCTCGTGGTATACGGAGACGCCGCAGCTGAAGCGTATCCCGACAATTGTGCCGTGATCCGCCCAGCTGCGTGACTGACAGCTGGCTCTGCCTATCTAAAGGCAGAGCCAGCTGTACCCGCCCCCTCCCCCGTCCGTTCCGCCAGTCAGCGATGGGGGATCGGAGCGGGAGGGGGGAATCCAGCCCCTCCCGTCACGACAGAGAGCTGTGACAGGATCGAGAGGTGAGCGGACGCCGGTATGTGCTCGCTCACCTCCCGATCTACTGAGCCCAGCTGTGACAGTCTCATTGTCACAGGTAGGCTAGAACTATGAGGTGAGTGAAAAGCACTCACCTCATAGTTCTCCTTTAAACATCCATAGCCGGGCCACAGATTCACTTTCAGAACAACTTTGTTTAAGAATGTCATTGCAGACGGAATATAAAATAAAAAAGTTTCCTTCACGTATCAGCTATGATGATTTGTTCCACGTGAGAGTTAATGGTATTTGCCATCTATTGCCCTCATCAGCAGTGGACTTGGGATCAGTAGGACAGAGCTACCCTTGAAACATGAAAGTGGTCCGTCACATATTACCTTGGTTGTGACCTCCCAAAGTCCCCAGATCACAATGCTGACAAAGAACTAAAGCATCATCAGAGACTGTTACTGTCTAAATTATGGATTACCGCTTAGGCTGCTTACCGCCCGAAGTGACAGGGTGCACAGCACATGTAGCCAATGGTGATTTTATTAAATAATATTGTTCATGGACTTTTTTTATTCCTCACCCTTATAAACCCCTGCCAAAGTAAGGCAGGAATTACAAAATAAAATTTAAAACATTGCTACCCAGAGGACCCCATTTGCACCGCACCTACCACAAAAAAATGCATAATTAATCATTAAGAAAATTATAGCTTTACAGTGTTAAATCCACTAGTGGTAAGCTACAACTTCCTTCTGCCAGACCCCCCTCCATTCACCCTATTCTTTCAGGCCCCTAAGAAGACACATAGTAAGAGATTACTAAAGTTACTCCCCTGAGCGAGGGACACTGAACTATTTGGGGTGTTGCATTTAACTTGGGCACACACACATTATCTTGATAGATTTTCTTTTAATCAGCTCTGCATATGCTGCTGCTCTGTGTGCCTGGAAATTAAATGGTTAAAAAGAGCTGCACATTAACATAATACCAGTTTAATTAATCTAATTAGGATCCGGAGTTTTGTGCAAACATTGGGAGAAGCTTTCGAAACACAAAATATCAAAGTGTTTTAATTGGGCTCGTCAGCATATGATGAACGCTGCCCGCTCCTCTCTCTGTCTCTGGGGGCACCTGGGAAAGGTGGAAGCGGGCTGCACACCATAGCAAATAGTACACTG